ATATATATATATATATATATATATATATATATATATATATATATATATATAATGGTATAGTGCTGTTGATATTTGATTAGATCACGAACGTTTTATAAAAACAAATAATACAGATATATATACGCATGCATAGTTTGCATGCGGTTATGCTGCAGTAATGAGATCAAAATTAGTGTATAAGAAAATGTTTAAATTTCAATTGCCTCATTTGTGACAAAAATATTGCGCATACCCAAAAATGACACTGCAATATAGCCATAACCTTTCTTTCTTTCTTTCCTCCCTAACAAATTTATTAAATTATTTCTATAACATAACAAAATTAATTTGCAATACAAAATTTATTCAAAGCGGCAAAATTTCTTCAATGGAAAAAAGTGTAGAAAAAAAAGAAAAAAAACACAAAAGAGAATATACAACGATATGTATGTATGTGTAGATTAACTAAATTGATTAAGTTTTCTGAATCGTAATATAATTCTATTCCAATTACATTATTTGGCCAAAGATCAGTTTATTGTTTTGCCGTTTGGTCAAAGATCAGTTTATTATTTTGTCTTTTGTCCAGTGGGCAGTTTATTATTTTGCTATTTGAGCAAGGAAAAGATTAGTCAAAGATCAATTTATTCCTTTATCACTCAGCAAAAGAAAGAAAGAAAGAAAATTAATGTATTGTAACTATGAAACTTATATTAAGAATACAGCTAATGGCAAATGTGAACTTGATTAATTCATTAATTAGATGGAAATGTTGAAATAGGATGAAACATCTATTTTTCACATTCATCAAGTGAAGCTAAATCAATTCAACTTGAAATGGTTTCCAGTTGACTGGATTGTACTCTATGACCCCCATTATACTGGTTCAATTCGGTAACTAATGTTATTTGCATACAATAATTTATGATTGATAATAATAAATGATATAAATTACTGATTGATATTGTATTTCGGTTTTTTTTCTTACCTGATTTTGAATAATTTTGATGAATTAGTTGAATATTGTTTGTCATTGCCTAACATGTATTATACTTGACTTTTCTAAAATGTTGATCTGAAATTGACGAATAATTATGAAATTTGATGACCTTTATTCAATAAGTAAAATCATTAATTATATCCCACAAATTTTGATTTATCATTTCTTTTGTTAATATCCAAAAAGAAAACAAAAAACAAAAAACAAACAAATAAACCTGATTCTGTATTCCGTTATTTTTTGCTGTCGTGCTCGTCTTTCCTCCCGGATTGCTTCCTGATATCCTTCCCGAAGTTGTTCCACAACAAATAGGACAATTTTTGTCCAACCAGTTTGTGAAGTTTTATTACGATCCTTTTTTTCACCCCATTCCAATGTTCGCTCAATCATTGCTGATGCAAAATGATCAAAATGCGCCAAGCGGAATGGGCAAACATTTAATCTACTTTTATTGTCAACTGAAAATTTATGAGGAAATTAAGAAAATTCCAACAAATTTAATTTTCAACATTTTTTTTTAGAATTTTCCCACGCATTTCTTCCCATTCATTTTTTTTTGGAATTGAATTTTATAAGCATTATTATTAATTCAATTAAATTCTGTTTTTTTTCTTTAGATCGAAAAAAAAACAAATTCAAAAAATCGATGAACAAACATTTGTTGCAAGTATCACGAAATAAGCAGGCATGTGCTCGTCCGGCTTTTCGTAATTCTTCAATTACAGTTTCCTTTGTTTCCAGTCCAATTATCAAACGATCCATGATATCCGTAAAACTTTTAGCATGTTTCTAGGAAAGGAAAAAAAACTTCATATTTAAAACTAAAAATTCAGAACGGTGATATTATTAGCTCATACTCATCTATAAGTAAAAATACTAAGTGTTGGCTAAAAATAATCATCCATATATTTCATAAGTTATGCTAATTATTAACTGATTAGTCAGATTAATTTAAAATAATTATTCGAATTGTCATCCTAATTTTAACATTTTCATATTTTGTAAATTATACCTTTAATCGTTCATAGCCTACATTTTTAGGCCCATCCATGATTAGTGATCGAATCTCACCACATTTATAGAAACTATTCCGGAAAATACTCATTGCCGGTTCAAGTGCGCCTTGACTTCTTGCATGACTCCATGTTTTACGTACCAATAATAACTGAATGGCGCTCAAGTTCAAACTACTGCTCCTATTTCGTGTCAAATCACGATTTGATGACATTTCTGCAATAGAGAAAAAAAAATTTAATTAATTACAATTCATATTCGTGAATATAAAACAAGTCTAAATAAGATTAAAGAAATTCAGTAACAGATTAGCTTTCAAATTCAAATACAACTATTTCAAATTGTTCAAATCATTAAAATCTTCAAGCCTATTTTAGTAAGAGAAAAATATCTGTAATCAGAAAGCAGAAATAATAATTGAAAATGATTTTGAAAAACAAACAAGAACAAAAAAAAGTAGTGCTAGGATTAAGTTTAATTCTAGGCACTTGGCCTTTTTTTATTCATATGAGATAAAGTTCAGGATTAAAACTATCGCAAATTTTGCTTTTGTTTCTTTTTCATTCTATTCTATCTGAAATGGTTGAGTGTAAAATAAGCCTAGTGTTGGCCTTTTTTGCAAGCTTGATTTTGGACACTTGGCTTTTTTCATTTCCTCATAAAATGTTTTTATTCTTTTTAATGTGGAAAATAATAAGACTAAAATTAAGAAATCGCAGTTAGTATTTTCAAATTTTTTTGTTTCCACTATTACAGTGCTTCTAAATGGGCCTAAAAATTCGATATTTTTTAGCCATATTATACTACCAAGGGATAAGTAAGCAGTTCAAGAATTCTATTTTAGAATTAATTAAGTTCAAGAGTTCCATTTAAAAGTAAGTGAGTTCCATTCTTGAGAAAAAATTTTAAAAAAAAGCATTAAGTTTAAATTTACTGATTATTTAACTTCTAAACTTCTTGAATTGAATTTTTTTTTAAACATTATAAATCTTTCTCAACTTCTAATCTCAGAATTTTTCAAGAGATTTACAAATCTCTTGATGATATCTGAATCTCTCTCTCTCTCTCTCTTTCTCCTTTAAATAATTTCAAGTAAACAATTGGGTGAAACGAATAAGAAAAGAACGGGCGGCAATGTGCGAATTAAAGAGATTCCGCTTTTGAAATGAAATATGAAAATGATTCATTTTTTCCCTGAAATCAAAAAAAAGAAATAAATAAATAAATCAAATAAATGAAAATAAATAAAATGAAATTTTTCTTTTGTTTTTATCCATTTCTTTTCTTTGTCTTTTTTTTTTTTTTGAATTGAACGAATAAATAAATGAAATGAATGGCTTGTAATTGAAGCATTGAAAATGCTTTTAATCTAATATTAATTAATCAATTCCATGTGAAGTCAGTATAATAATCTGAATTAGAAATGGATAAATAGCCAATTTCAATTCATTTTCATTTCAAATATTGGCAAATGTCGCAGAATCTAGGAATAATCTCATATCAACTATTTTTACTACATCATCAACGATTAAGTTGATGCAATAAATTAGAAGCGCAAAATGGACATTAATATTTTTCAACTAAGCATCTGGAAGCTAAAGAATCTGGTAGAATTAACAAAAAGCATAATCAAAGGGCTAGAAGCCAGTAAGATTAATAGCTTCAAATACTTTCAGATCTGTGAAGCACATATAGATCAATCTTTAGTCCTCAACTTAATTCATTTTAAGCAAAAAAGGCTATACCAGTGATAACTGCGCGGAGTGTTGAAATTTGCAGTTGGATAAAATATTAATTTGTTTTTTTTTAATTTCAAATTCTTGCACAATGATAATGATAAGAGTGATAAATCAGTGGAATAGATGGAAAAATAATTGTCAACTCTTCTTTCCCACTCTTATTGAACAATATATTCTATAGAATGGTGTTTTATCCGATTTTGGAATTTTCCATTAATTTGAAATATCAAAACAAAATTGATCTCACAGTGACCAGTATATAATGAGTTATGAAAATAATATCAAGACAGAATTGATCTGTCTGTGATCAGATAGATAATGAGTTATGAAAATAATATCAAGACAGAATTGATCTGTCTGTGATCAGATAGGTTATGAGTTATGAAAAGAATATCAAGACAGAATTGATCTGTCTGTGATCAGATAGGTAATGAGTTATGAAAA